TCTCTCTCTCTCTCTCTCTCTCTCTCTCTCTCTCTCTCTCTCTCTCTCTCTCTCTCTGTGTGTGTGTTTGTGCGTGTGTACCCAGGTACTAACCTGCAGAAAGGTGGCGCCTTGATGCAGATGTGGACGCGCTGAAGACGAAGCTGGAGCTATGGCGTTGCAAGTAAGTCGTCAGGTAAGCCCCCTGGCCTCCACCAACCTCTACTCCGCTAACACCGGCTGCAGAGTGCTGCAGCCCAAGCTCAAATCTCCCACCCAATGTCGTCACTAACCTCGCGCCCAGTGCTGTGGACTAGCATACTAACACTGCCCAGCGCTTCGACTAACGATGCCTACAGAACTACCTGCCTACTACTGGGCGGACCAGCTATAAATAGCGCTGGTCCGACCTCGAAACCAAACCGCACCTATGCACTAGGACAGAGTGCGGGTCTGAAGCGGGCTGGGCCTAAGCTGGCGCCAACAACCTGGACTGTGCCTGAAATGGGGCCCTACTGCGGACCTGAAACTGAACCTCAGCGGGGGCCCTAACACAGGCCCTGGGACTCCCTACTGGCCTGCCAATCGAACCGCCGCTAAGTCCTAACCTCGGCCCCTAATCCCTACTAAACCCCATAGTCCCCTAATCCTGCTGGTCGGGACCGTGTGGGAACTTGTGGATGCCACACCCCCCCCTCCTTGAAAGACCGAGCCTCCCAGCGAGGACGAAGCTCTCTATCGAAGGGAGGGACCGAAGTCCGGGTGGGGTGAGCAGGTTGTGAAGCCTCCTTTAAGGAAGGGAAGCCTCCTTGAAGGTTGTGAAGCCTCCTTGACTAGTCGTCGCTTCTCGTAGTCAGGTGAGCAGTGTGGATGCCTGCAAGTCTGCTAGCAAAATCCAACGCACGTCGCCACGGTCACATTGCTTGAAGGTGACCTTATACTGCATTGGCCTGTTGCCACACTTGCGATGCGTGATGGTTTTGGCCTGTTGCCACACTTGCGATGCGTGATGGCCCAATCGATCTCCTGGTGATCATTGATAGAAGGAGGGTCCTGCGATCGCTGGCCTGGGAAGTTGTTGGTTTCGGCTGGTGTGCAAATAGCCAGCTTAGCGGCATGGAAGAGTGGATGGACCGGCAGATCCGGCGGGATGTTGATAACAAAAGATGCGCCATCGGGCTCATCGCCAGTGACTGATACAACGGTCCATGGTCCAAACCACTTAGGGCGGAGTTTGCGTGAAACATCTCTTTTGAGTGCAAACTCCTCGGAGGAAACCCATACTAGGTCACCGGCGCAGATAGGACATGGTATGTGACGCCAGGTAGCTTGATGCTGCAAGCTTGTGGGAAGCACTTCGTACTTCAAGATTAAAATGGAAGGGCACCTTCGGGGGCTGAAGTTGTGACAAAGGTGCGGCGATCCGCACGTATCCGCCGATGAAGCGTTCGTAGTACCCGGCCAATCCTATGAAGAAGCGAACCTTCGTGGTGTTGGTAGGTTCCGGCCAGTCTTGGATGGCCTGAATTTCGTCCGAGCGGACGGGTGCCTTGCAGCATCACAAAGTGGCCCAAGTTCTCGAGCTCTTGTTGGGCAAACTCACATTTTGCTTGACTAGCCTTGTACTTGGCCATACGTAGCCTCTTCGAAATGGGGCATAGGTGCTTGAGGTGCTTGTCCAAGGTCCGACTATACACCAAGATGTCGTCGAGGTAGATAAGCACGGACCTCTCCAACACGTTTCGAAACTTCGTCGTCATTGCCACTTGGAAGGTGGTCGGGCCATTCGTGAGGCTGAATGACATTACGACTCACTCGAAGTGCCCATACAACGTCTTGAACACCGTCTTGTACAGGTCTCGTGGATGGATCTCGATTTGGTGATAACCGGATTTGAGATGCACCTTCGAGAAACACGTACCGTCGGCCAAGCGTTCAAGAAGATCGTTAACGTGTGAGAGAAGGCCAGCATTCTTAACAGTTTGAGCATTAAGTTTGCAGTAATCAATACATAGACTCAAGTGTTTGTTTCTCTTCCAGACGAAGAGAACGGGGCCACCGTAGGGCGAGCAGCTAGGGGTGAAACCATCCCTTTGCAATGAGGTCGTCGAGTTGCGTACGAAGCACCTCAAGTTCGTCCTCACTCATGCGGTAGATACAACCGCACAAAGTACGGCACCATCCCCGAAGATGATATTGTGGCGTATGGGCTGATCCGGTACTCTACTGGCGGGGGCTTTGAAGACGTCGCCATAGGAGTCGAGAAGTTGTACCATTCGTGGATCCGGTGGCACTTCCGTTGCTGGCACGTCCGATGGAGGGAGGGTATGCAAGAAGCAAATGCCCATTTCCTCGACGTCAT